TTCCTACATAAGAAAATCCATTGCCTAGGCAACTAGTAGGGGTGGCCACGAGCCGAGCTCTTCACGAGCTATTCGAGCTCAGCTCGGCTCGGTTTCAACCGAGCTCAAGCCTAATAATGCTCGGCTCACGAGGCTAGCGAGCCGAGCTCAAATAGCTGCATACATACATACATATAACAATAACAATAATAATAATAATAATAATAATAATAATAATAATAATAATAATAATAGTAATAATAATAATAATAATTATTATTATTATAGAAAATAATATATATAATATTTTATTTTTATATATAATAATAACTAACTATTGTAATTCTTATTTTTTTCAATATCAAATAAAAATATTTTATATATAATTTTTTATTTTTATAAAACATTTTCTCAAATCGAGCTTGGGTCAAACTGAGCTCGAGCTCAAGCTCAAGCCTAGTACTGCCTTGGCAAGTTGAGCTCAAATAGCTAACTATTCGACTCGGCTCGGCTCGAATCCACCCCTAGCGACTAGGCGACAAGGTGCTCCCTATCGCATAGCCTCGTCTTAGCACATTGAAAACTATAAGGTGCCCCCAATTTTACACTTCATGCCTTGAGACTTGAGGCTTATGCCTCATTCTAACAAAGACTTAAGCCTCAATTATGAGGCTTAAACCTTGAAGTAGAATTTGTGTGCCTCACCTCAAAGCGTACGTCTCATACTCAAAGCTTAAGCCTTTTGAAACAATGAGTGGACTGATTGTGTATTTGATTCTATTAACAGTTATGGATGGATGTTTTTTTATCTGAAAAACATCGGTTTAAACGTTATTGGTTTTGACTATTTGGTGGGGTGGGGTGTTTCTAGTAATACCTCGTAAAAGCATATGCTGCCTAAGCAATAATAAATGTTTCTTTTTTTTTTTTTTACCTTTTAGCTGTTTGGTGGGGTGTTTCAAGAAACAACAAACATAAACAGTGTAGTGTGACAGTGTGACATTCTTGCTTTATGTTGGAATTCCATCAAATTGATCTAATGGTCTAGAATGCCTATACATGTTTATAATGGCTGAAATTGAGATCTAATGGTTGATCTAACGAACTAAAAGGCCCATACATCATACATGTCTATAATGGTCCACGGCTTTTGTTGTTATAATATTTTGTTTGTAAGATGCATTCATGATCCAAGACGCATCGGATCACGTCTTAATGCTTCCACGTAAGATCCCATATTAATGGCATGTGAGCTTTCCCCAATCAATGGTTTAATGCATGAAATCCCAATCATTTAGGTTTTTCGATGTTTAATTGATAAACACTGAACCTAAACAATTGTTTCAGCCTAAATAAACGCCCATGTGGTCATGTCTATGTGGTGGTGATGTAGCAATGTTTTTGCAAAAAACGCCACAAGAACCAAACATCCTTCAAGTCACCAAAAATCTAAACCTAGTAGCTGTTTGAGAGGGCTTTCGTGATGCAGCTTTTGACACACGGGAATGCCATAAAGTTTATGATAAAAATCCATAAAGCCAACGTGTAATTTTAGACTTTCCAAACACCTAAACTAAAGTTCAATTATCTAGAGGTGTCAATGGACCGGTTTCAGGTTGGACCCCATCCAACCGAAAGGTGTTATGGACAGAATGGACCGGTCCAAATGGTTGAATGGACTTGGACTGGTCCAAAAATAAATGGTCTATATATGTTGCAAACTAAATTTGGACAGAACCGTTGATCGAAAGGGTCCAGTTCTCACTTGGAGATTTCAGAAATTTGCTCGAAGAGCTTATCTTCTCGTTTGGAGATTTCATAAGTTCGTTAGGGTTCCACTGCTCCCTCCGACGATTGAACAAACAATAGATCAAGTTTTTCTCTCCGGTGATATTTCCCCAGCTCCAGTGGTACTCACGGTGGTATACTCCGTCTCGCCTCTTTCTCTCTCTCTCTAGTGATATATGATGAGGGTGGATTTGGCCCTCCAATGATATTGTGACACATGGCACCTCAGAACAAGTAGGTGACACCGGAAACCACTTTGGCAACAACTTGCCTTAGCCAAGTTGATGGTGTCCCACCTGGCGGCCTGGCACAGGTACGGCTTGGCCCAGGTGCGGCCTGACACAGGCACGAGCTGGTAGCCTAGCACAGGCGTGAGCTGGCAACCTGGCGCAGGCGCGGCCTGGCACATGCACGAGCTGGCAGCCTGGCACAAGCACGAGCTAGTAGCCTGGTGCAGGCATGACCTGGCACAGGCACGACCTGGTAGCCTAGCACAGGCGTGAGCTGGCAACCTGGCGCAGGCGCGGCCTGGCACATGCACGAGCTGGCAGCCTGGCACAAGCGCGAGCTAGTAGCCTGGTGCAGGCATGACCTGGCACAGGCACGACCTGGCCAGGCGCGACCTGGCACAAGCACGACCTGACACAGGCGCGACCTGGCACAGGCACAACCTGGCACAGGCTCGACCTGGCACAAGCACGACCTAGCACAGGCGCGACCTAGCACAAGCACGACCTGGCAACCTGGCCCAGGCACCGACCTGGCGACTTACAAGACGTGCTCGCCGATGAATTCGACATGCATATCCTAACACTCCCACGATCCTTGGGAGTTTGCCCACATGCCGAACGATCTGGAGGGTGGTCAACGTGCATGGCGGTTACCTCCAGGAATCTCAACCTACTTAGACGACCTCGCAGAAATCTCGGATATGGTGCGTGAAGCCCACGCCAAACAATGCCTATATAAAGGCACCAACCCCAAGGGCAAGGAGAAAGCAAGTAAGCAAGTAAGCATATTTTGGCTCTCATACTTTATGATTTTTAGCTCGCAGTCTACTATGAGAGTATTGACTTAAGCATCGGAGTGACCTCGCCAGGTTAGCCACCCCGGGCCCTCTGACATTTGGTTCCTTGTAGGACTCTAAAGAGCAAGGAAGCTCATCACCTGGTCAGCTCGACACCTGCCCGGCACTTGGTCAATTCGGCACCTGCCCGACACCTCACAGGCAGCTCGGCACCTCTCAGGCAGTTTGCCACCAGGTGGCTCACCACCAAGTAGCTCATCAAGGTAGCTCACCACAAGGCAGTTCGCCACCAGGTAACTCACCACCAAACAGCTCATCAAAGTAGTTCACCACCAGGCAATTCACCACTAGATAGCTCGCCACTAGGGAGCTCCACTTCAGCCTCTGAGTCACAGGCCACTTGGGAGCAGACGTCACTGACGAGGTACTTAGCCAAAAAATTTGATACATCACAAAAAAATTGATACGTGACCAAGAACAGTTATATCAATATACTTATCCCACATTTAGTTATTTCTTGATTTTCTTCTCTCATCTCTCTTCTGTCTTTCATGTATTTTTTGTGTTGTGTTCATTTTATTGATTCCAGTTTCCTGGTCATCAAAGATTTTTAGTCATTCTCCATGGACATTTTTAGATGTGCTTGAATGGAAGATAAGAGTTGTTTGGTTCATTCTTGAAATAAAACAAAAAGATATTCTGAATTGGATCAAATTAAATAATAGAGCATGCTCTTAGTTTAGACTTTAGAGGTGTAAATGAATTAAATATTATCTAAATCCAACTTTGATCTACTAATTTTCAGACAAAGTGGAATTTTATTGGCACTTCATAATGGATAGTTTTTAATTCCTCCCAATGTTGATTAATTTAAATTAATATGATCTTTTTCCTGTGTGAAATACTTTTTGTAACTTTTTAGTTTTCATAGGATTTTATGACATATCAGCAAAAAATAAAAAGAAAGTGGGAATGTGAATTTCATTTAGCAATACAATGTTTCAACTATCGTGATTCTTATTTATGAATTTGCTAATGCAGTGCATCTGGTTCTTACTCTCTTGCTAATGCAGGATTCATTTTTGCAATTTCTTATATTTTTTGAATTTTTTAATAATATATTTTGTACAATTTATTATATTTTTGGGTTTTCAGGTACTTTTTGAAATTTCATTTGGTTTGGACCCAATCTGGTTTATTTGCATTTGGACTGGATTGGATCTAGTTTGTATGGGATTTGGTCCAATCCATTTGTAAATGGACCAATGTTGGATTTGATCGGATTGGACCAAATCCAATCCAATTGACACCCGTACAATTAATACAATACTCCCTAAATGCAAAATCCCTCCCACACAGAATGCTAGAGATTGTTTCCATTTATGGCTTCCTAAAAGAGATTTTTCTTAGGGAAAATTCTTGATTAGTACCCTGTATTTTGGGCTTAGTGCCACTTTGGTCCCCGAATTTTAAAATGCAACAATTTAGTACCTGAACTTCAAAATATGACAATCCAGTATCTGTTGTTAACTAGCTGTTAACTAGTTGTTAAGTAGCGTTTGAAAAAAATACAAATGCCCTTCGAGTGTCATCTGATTTTTTTTATCAATCATCCAAACATTGACAAAAAATTAATAATTTCAAATCCTTGCCTCTTTCATTCAAGAAAGTTGGGATCACCGGGATGGCTACTCAAACACGACCTCAACTTTCTTGAATGAAAAAAGCAAAGATTTGGGACTATTAATTTTTTGTCAAAGTTTGAATGGTTGATAAAGAAAATTAGATGACATTTGAAGGGCATTTGTGTCTTTTTCAAATGGTATTTAACGGCTGATTAACTGTTAGTTAACGACATATTTGTCACGCTTTAAAGGGTTAGGTACTGAAATCGCATTTTAAAGTTCAGGGGACGAAAATGGCACTAAGCCCAAATTACAGGATATTAATCGAGAATTTTCCCCTTTTCTTATTTGTCATATATTATTGAAGTTTTGGATGATGCGTCAATTTCTTATCGGTCCAAAACTTAAAACTTACTTGAAGAACAGGCTTCAACCTGAGCGGCTCTGATTTGCCACGTCACCAAAAATTTCGACACTTCTGACACTTGTCCCAGAGAACGAAAATGAAATCAAACAATCATTTTTTTTTTTTTTTTTTTTTCGGGTAAAAAACAATCAAAATTAAGAAGCGAGGAAAAAGGTGATCTGAATGGGTAAAAATCTTTAAAACGGACAGAGTTAGGGTTTTTTTCGAACTTCTCTCCCCCATTGTATGCTGTGCAAATGTTCATCACCTTCTTCCATGGTCACTAATTCCTCTTCCTCTAAGCTTCCATGGATTTGGTGTATCGAAGCCCTTGCAAGCTTCAAGCAAGTAGACATCGCTCTCCTCGGTGGTACGCAATCAAGCAGAGAAAATGAGGGGAAGATAATTCAGTCTTTGTGTTTCTCCTTTTTGCTTGTCTGCAAATTAGATTCATGTCTTGTTTCTTGCAGATTTGATAAGTAGGGTATCGGATTTCTCGGATGAATCGTGCAAGGATGCGCGGGAGAGGGTCGCTTTGAGGTGCTTGGAGCAATGGCTAGATTCAAGCGATGTTTCAGACAAAAGAAATGTGCCTTTGGTTTCAGGGTCCGGTGCTCTGACCATCTTCGGTGACACAGCAAGGCAAATGACATGCGAAAACGTCCTCCATCTTGTTCTAAATGAGGTAAACTTGAAATTTGAGTTCAGCTTAAATTCTGAAGTTATTGATTTTCAGTTTCCTCTCTTATGGATTTGCATTGTTTTAGAAGGATGTGCTTAATTTGTTTAATTCGAGATAACAATGTTCAACACCTCGATAATGGACGACGGGAGAAACAGTATAGTTGTAACAATTACCAAACATTCAATACCTGAAATCCAATTCAATCCTATAAATAGCTATATTGGGTTTATTTGCCCCTATTGTTCTTTATCAACTTCTGGAATGAACAACAGCATTCTTTTCGTAAACAAATAATTCACACTTTTTGATAGAATGCTTTCTCGATATGTGCAAATTGGTCCGAAATTTTAGTCCATTCATGTGCTTGCTGTGAGGTGCATAGAACTCTGTCTATGGGTCACTGCGTTTCCAGGTTTATTGGAATTTTCAGAAAGACTTCCCGTGCATGGTTATATGGTATTGTCGTCTTTTCCTATGTTGTGTAAATTAGGTATATGCAGAATGGATTGCTTGGTGGTGACATGAATTGTCTGAGCTCTTAAAATTGAAGGTGTATGTATAACTTTATTTGTTTGGGAGTTCTTTTCATAGTGTATACTGATATAATTAGACTCCTTTATAGACTAAAGTTAGAGATATGGTTCTGTATCTGATATTTTAAAATTTGGATGTGGCTATTTGTTGGTGAAACAATGGTTCAAATTAGGTAACAGTTTAAGATTGTAATAGAAAGGCTGCACAGTAGAAAGAAGAAAGAAGAGAAAGAATGATTTGCCAGAGAGAAAAACCCTTCACTTTCCAGCCCAGCTGACTTATATTTATACATTACTAAGATTAATTACAAAGATTATTGTGCCCCTATTTAAGTATGAGGTACACAACTTAAAGTAGGAAAATATAGACTAATTACACATCATTAAATAAAGGAGAAAAGAGTAAAAAATCCTCAATAGGCTGACTATTAACACTCCCCCTCAAGCTGGAGATTATGTATGTGTTTGGTATAGCTTCCATTTATTCACTAAATGTTTGTACTTGATTTGTTTGCAAAATCGATAAAAGCAATAATGAAACTGTTTATTGACAATTAGGCCCCACTAGGCGCCATTAGGCACCACATCAACAAAATAGTGACTAAATGCCTACCTGTTAGGGGAAGCGCTAAGATGAAGCTTCCCCCAACAATATGCACGCACATAAATCAAGGCCTGCTTTTGCAAGTCTCTATGCGTACGGATCAGCATGATGGGTGTAATGCTGAAGTGTGCAGTGCCACGGTTCCAAACACTGCCTATATATCACATGGTTGATGGTCCCAGCTTGTTGCATATGTAATCCACTCTTCTTCCACTCAAGCCCTTAGTAAACAGGTCTGCCATTGATCTTCCGAGCTGACATGTGCAGTGCCAATTACTTCGTTAAGAATCTTTACTCCTACAAAATGATAATCAACTTTGTATGTGCTTGGTCCTCTCATGGAATATCAGATTAGATGAAATATAGACAACCTTGGTTGTCACAATCACAATATAGCTTCATGAGGTTGTCCACTGAAAAACCAATCTCTTGTATGTAACAAGTAATATGACCTTATACTCAGCTTCAACACTTTTTCTTGCCACAACAGTTTGTTTCTTACTCTCCTAGGTTACTAAATTTCCAACCAAAAAGGTACAATATCTTGTAGTGGACCTCTATCAGATTCAAAAGTAGAACAAGTACAATATGCATCAATATAGCCTTCTATCTTAAGATTTCCATCAGGTCTATACAATAGTCCACTACTTGGGTCTCCCTTCAAGTACCATGCAATTCTAATAACTACATTCCAATGAGGAACTTGAAGACTTTGCATAAATCGACTTCACCACACTCACTGCAAAGGAAATATTTGGTTGGGTAATAGTCAGATAATTTAGCTTACCCACTAACCTTTTGTATTTTCTAGGATCATCAAATTGCTACTCTGTGTCACTGCTAAGCTTAACACAAGGATTAAAGTATTGAATCTATTGATATAGTCCAATATGCTAGACAAGGCATGTCGAACTTTAACATCACGTAGTTATTTTTTTTAGTTTTTTTTTTTTTTTTTTCTAAAATAGGTTCAGGGGGTTGGTATAAGGCCTGACTATCCCCAAAAAGAGGCCTTACCACGAAACTCCATATATTTTGTGTATTGGTGGGTTACTAATACGATATGTAGCGGTCAATGTGGGCTGATACGTTGTGTTGATCCGTGGCTTAACATTAGGTTCTATAGGTGATTCATCCAGTTAAGCACCCAACAATCCTATCTCCTTTAATTGATGACGAGAATTTTCTTTGACATAGATTGATGCCATGCCTTGACCTTGCAACTTCTATACCCAAAAAGTACTTCAACTTGCTAGGATCTTTTGTTTGGAAGCGGTCTTGTAGGAATATTACAATGCCCTAAGTATCACTACTGGTGATAACAATGCCATTTACATATACCCAATGTTTTAAAACGTGGAGGTGTTCCACTACCTAGAGGCGTGGCACCACCCTGGAGAGGCAAGTGCTTCTTGGGAATATAGAAGACAAAAAGGAGACAAACTGGTAATGGGAATATAACAACTTGTTCTTTATTTTTTTAAACAAGTATAACTTCTTATGATTGTTTTTCTTTATTTTTTTTGGTATGTTTAATTGACATTAGCAATGCAAAACCTTCAGCGAAAGATTAAGGCCATTCAACAAAGATATGCTGGCAATCAAGTAGTAGAGGACATTTTCTTCCCTTCATCCCTTCAATTCTTGTTTAATGGGAATGTAGAATGATTCCATAGCTTCTTGTGAGAAATCTTGTTGAGAAACTTGGCTACGAAATAGGACAGTGGAAGGAAGATTTTGGGAAGCATCAAGATGGAAGAAATCTCTAAAGGTTGAAGCTAAGGATTTCCTCCTTTAGGAGATGAAGATCAAAGGGATACCGGGCATGAAGATCAAGGAGGCTAAGAAGGCTACTTTTTTGCTGGTTGGACTCGAAGTGATCGATTGGCTGAAGGATTTCCTGGTAGCAACAAGCTCCAAAGGTAAGCAACCAAACCATAAGGGTTGTGGTTCAGAAGGGAGAAGGTATGAGGTGGAATGCAGGAAGAATGCCAAAGGTTCTTTTATTGCACTCTTGGAATACTTTGGGGAAGGAAGGAAGCAAATGGTATGTTTCCCTGAAGGAAGAAAGGGTCAAGGTTGGAAGGAAGTTGCAGGGTTGCTTGATAATTTCTTAGTTGGGTTGGAAAACTCCGATACACCAGAAAAGGAAAAAGAAGCAAATAAGAGTCCCAACAAGGTAGAAAGCAAGAAACAAAGTCTCACAGTTGTTGAGAAGGGAAGGGTAAGTTGCTAACTGGTGACAATTGAAGGAAAAGAGGAATGGGAGAGAAAGCTTGTGGTTGAGACTTCAACTCAACCGAAAGATTGGAGGAAAATCGCAAAGGTGATATTGCGAGAATTAAAATTAAAAAGTTCAATTATTATTGCCCCTTTTGATAATTGCAAGGCCCTACTCGATTTGGGAGAATCCAAAGTTGAAATCATGGCTTTAAATTTTCAGTTGAAGCAAGTGCTTTTACAATCTCAAGATGGGCTCCTCTCAAATTCAAAGAGCTTTAGTGTGGAGGATAATGTGATAGTCCGTGTGTTACAACTGCCATTTCATCTCTGGAGAAATGATGTTTTACAGTCATTAGCTATGATTTGTAATGCCAGATTGGATGAGGTCTTTGATTTTGATCTACACTCTATAGTTCTTAAGCTAAGCGGAGTGAAACCTGAAGAAATCCCAAGAAGAGTAGAAGTGGTAATAGATGACATTTCTTACTCTGTCTGGATGGCGACTTCCATTGAAGTGCAGCTTTGGAAGGAGGGTCGCAGGCTGGAAGATGAAGAAACAAAGACATGCTTACTTGGGGTGAAAGGAAGAGATGATAACACTAAAATGACAAAGTAGGTTCTGGGAAATACAAAAGCTAAGAGGCAGAATGCCGGCTTAAGCATAATGGGGAAAGTTGCTGGATAGACTGGGATTTCCTATGCTACAGCGGTGACAGGTGGAGTTAAGGCTAGTACACCTATACGAAAAGTTCAAAATTTAAAAACAAAGAGTTTTGGGTTGGCAGAAAAACAGGTTGTGGACCGGTCTTATAATGTGGGCCAGGCTGCAGGGGTGGATTGTGAAATGGACCAGGCAGAAGCATGCAACCTCTCTACTAGTCACGTGGGTGATAAAGGAGGGGGTAATCGGGAAGGCCCACTTGAGCCTATTGGGCCAAAAGAACAAAACGCTTTGGGCCCATCTTTAAAAGGGTCGTGTGCCACTTTAAAAGGGCACGTGACTATGAAAAGTGGGGCATTGATGGACACCAAATTAGGTCCATCATCGTCCTCCTCAAGACTTAAGCGCAGCAATAGGGAAGAAAGGATGTTTTCTTTTGATGAATAAGAAACGATGTTTTCGAACTGGTAATGCGTTGCAAGTAAAGGAAGATAGGCTGCCTTGCTGGAATGCCGCAGCCCCAAGTTCAAGAAGCCTCCATTGGATGCTCCATTGATGAAATCTCCAGGGAAAAAGAGCGTAAGATGCTTAGATTCTGATATGTTTGAGGTAGGCAGATCGATAGAGGAAGAGAGGTACTCAGACAGTGAAACAGATGACACTAGCAGTCTTGGGAGTGTAGAGCCACCACAATTAAGGGACGTCTTCGATGAAGACAACTCTTTTACTGAGATTCTTTTCATCGAAGGAGAAGATTTGGATTCTGTACAAGAATAGTTGGAGTTTTCTCAACCTCGTTCGCCCTAGAAGGTGACAGTCAAGTTTGTTAAATTTACAGAAGAGAGTTAGGGCACACCTAACCCAAAAACTTCTCCCAGTTCTACAGAGCAGCTTAGTCCTGATAGCAGCCCAGAGAAATAGGGTTCGTTCTTGCTATGGCACACTAAGTCACTAGTTTTGGAACAACAATCTAAGGTGG